ACCTTGGTGGACGAGGTGATGACCATGTTCTCAGAGCTTTCGTACTGGCTGGACACGCCATAGAAGAAGCTGCTGTCGTCCTGCAGGTTTACGCTGAGGTCCGCCTTGAGGGAAGACGCACAAAAACACACTTCACTAAATGAATTCACAGCCTACTACGTAGTGCATCGAGTGCGAAGAGAAAGGAAAATGATTCAAATAAAGTCAAAGTCTTGATTGGGATCTTTACTGAGAAAGCAGAGACAGATGAGTGAAGTCAGCGTCGTGGTTGTTTCTTTCAAGGTGTCGAAATGGAAGTGAAATATATTTAATATATATAATACCTGTAAACACTGGTTATTAGCCGCAGCAATATCAGTACTAAATATCGATATCAGCTCAAACTTTTTTGTCCATCCCTATCTTATGGTAAACTTAGCTGTTTTTTCCGCATGTCCGAACTGTTAGAAAAAATGTGTAGCTACATAGATAATCTAAATAATAAAGTGTGCTTTGACTAGACCAATTTCTTGCTTAGAAAAAGACCCAGCCTGTGGCATCGGATGTAAAAGGTAACGGTACTTGCCGAGTTTTCTTTTAGTAAATATTTATACTGTATTCCTCCTTTCATGTTTACAATACATGATCTTCTTGGACAAAATGTTCCCTTGAGTTGAGCTCAAAGGAAGACGACGGTCGTGTTCCCTGCTGCTCGGGTCAAAGCAGATTGGCCCAGTGGTGCAGCTTTGAAATGAGGCAGGTATAATCAGATTACAGATCAGACTGAGGTGCCATCTCCTCTGTCAGACAGCTGGCCTGTTTTACCTTTTCCCCCTGACGGGCTCTTGTCCTCTAATGGGCCATTGAGACACCGCTCAGCCTCCCCTCATCTCTTCATCACCCCGTTTGTCTTCATCCCTAGCTCATGTAATTTCTCTATTTGTCTTCATCCCTGGGGCCCAGTGGCCCTCCCCAAACCGCCGTCCTCTGCTTCCCTAACAGCCAGCGAGGGAATTCATCCAATTACAATCATCAGCGTGCAATTGGCTGATTAGATCACGGTGGGCTGGCTGGCTGTGTAACAATTTAGCCGAGCCGGTTCAAATCAGATTCCCCCTGCACTTCAAAGGCGTGAGACAATCCGTTAGGACAGGGCCACGGGCGCTGAAGGGGAGAGGAGCCGGGCAGCCGGTGGCCGACAGGAGGGTCTGCAGGAAATTCAATCTAGAATACCATAGCTTTGGAGGTGGGTCAGTCGCCTGTCACTGTCCCCATGCCAACCTGCGCCTCGGCACACCCCCACCCTCACAACCCCCACAGTCATGACCTGCCTCCTGGCAGCGGCACAATGAAAAAGGTTTTCACATCTTTTATAATGTTTTTTTTTTTTTTTTTTTTTTAATTACATTTTTGGGGTGTGTCAAGGATTTCAGTAAGAAATCTTGCTTTTCCCCCCCCCCCCCCACAGCTGCTTAGTTGTGTTTGTGTGTTTTTGTCATGGATGCCTTGAGGACCGGACGATCACCTTGGGAAACGGCGAGCTGAGCAAACTGAGGGCACAAAGTGTTACGCGCCTGTTTTCATCTCACGCGCCGAGCTGCGGATGTCGCAACCGTCGACTCCACCAGGCTCTGACACCAACCAAGAGAGTAATATTTCACGGACGGATGTCTCGTTGGTTACACGCCACCCAGAATTTCTGCTGCGATCCCCCAACTCTTGTTCGCGCTGTCTGCATCCCTATTTGTATCTCTTCTTTATTGCTGTCTTGCTCTGCTTTTTGTTATGATATATGGCACAGTCAGTCATCCCCTTCCTCCCATAACCCCCAAATCAAATGCCATGGGTCCACCAGCTGCTCTGTCCAAGGAATGGAGAGGGCCGATCCAAACGCAGTGCCACTCACCAATGTCTTTTATCTCTTTACAATAAATAATGTGGACGTCAAGCATGCAAGAAGGGTAATGCCACAAATACACTCCTATCTGCTGGAGTGAGAAGCGGGGCGGCACTTTGAACTCGACCTTTTCGGTGTCCTGCGTCCTGAACGTCTGCGACCAACTAGCAGGTCCATGTGTTTTTTTTTTTCAGCTAGTAATGGACCTCAAATTTAAAACATATAAGCCTCAACCTATAATTTATAGAGAAACTACATTGTTGTCTCTACCTCTAATCTGTCAGGACCTCCAACTATTTAGATAAAACCACAGAGAATTAGTTTTTCTGTGGAGATGCTACGATCTGTGCTAGCGATCAAAATTAGCCAATTTTCCGCTTGACTGGAGTTGACCAGTGACTGGTGATTCAGAAAATTTAAAAATCAGATTTATTATGTGATTAGTAGTAACACACACTGCTGCACCTGGTTGTACTGAAAACAACAGCAGTCTAGTTTGGAAACAACTTCTGAAGGAGGAAGAAAGTCAGCTACTTTCAGGATCAGTCAGGTGTTTAAATATGGAAGCGCAGGAAAGATATTTAAAATAAAACTAAAAGCAGATAACAGAAAGGTTCAACCTTTTCTGAAGAAAACGCGCAGAGACCAGGGTTAAAGTAATAAAAGCAAAGATTGAAAATTGGTCCCAAATTTTGATCAGTGCATCTCTGGGTTTCTCCCACGTATATTTCCACATATTTCTGACTACCTTAAAAAGCAACTCGTGCATCTGAGTAAATGTTTTATAGTTTTTAGAAACGGGGAACAATAAGCATGTTGACTCACCGAAGACACTCATGAATCTCATTAATCTGTGACGCTGCACACACACACCACTCTTCTTTTGTCCTTAAAAATATTTTACACTTCAGGGACACCCATGAATGCTGTGGCCTAAACAGTACAGGTTGTACGTATTTTCAGAAAAAACACGTATCTGAACAGTGTATCATAGTTTTACACTTAGAACTTGATTCATTAAAATTCCTAGCCTGGTTTTATGTTCACAAAACGAGACAAATTAAGAGTGTTTCTCTAACTGTGCTGCCAAGCTAAAACCATCTCTTCAATTTGCAGACAGAGGAATAAGTTATAAATAACTATTGAATATGTAAAAATGCACCTCAAGCCCCATGTTAAGGACGGTGGAGGACGTGTGATGCTGTGGGATTATATTTCTCTTACAAAGTCTCTGGAGACCTTGCTGCAGTCCAGGACATTTTAAACCATTTGAGGCTCAAGGAGATTTTAAATAAAAAATCTGGTGGATATGAACAGAAGGCAGATCATGAATCATCTTCTGGGACTGAGTTGGAAAAGGATTTGAAACATATGCACAGATCAGCACAGAAAAGTGATTAAGATGAGGATTCATTTTTCATTATTTGTTCCCTATTTCCAGCACAAACAGTGAATGAAGTGCCCTATGGATGGAAACACATACAGTGGACATCAGAAGTGGACGACGTTCACCTTGTCTTGCTGGATTGTTTGCCGTCTCTCTGTATCCCTCATATTGTCATCATTCTTTACTCTCTTAACACTTTCAAAGTGTCACTGTCTCTAACCGTGATTTAAGAGCGTTGCATGGACATCTGTGCATGGTTGTGTGTGCGTGTGTGTGTAAGGGGAGTATCTATAAATAAGGATCTTGGGTGTAGGAGTGTGGGGGGTCACGAGCATTGGATTCAGGCTAATAGTGCAGAGACAGGTGTCTGGGATCACATTTCTCCTGCTGAAAGATCAGGCCTGCCACTCTTGCCAAGGCTGCTGTCACACACACACACACACACACACACACACACACACACACACACACACACACACACATCACAGACATATACAAATACAGTAATGGAAGAAGCTCTCTGCACAGCAATGCTCGCTCTGATGGCAGATAACCCACCGATAAGGTCACAGGAGTGGTGACTTTCCATCCTTTCTGGCCCTAAATCGAACTTAAGGCCTTTAACTCCAATGCTTAAGCTGTCTCAACACAGTTAACACCGCAAGGCCATTAACAGCCAACAGGTGCTACAAAACATTAACAAGAGTATGCTCACTTTACCCCCATGACTTGGGGAGGATTAGACGATGATGTAGGAAATTTTCGACTTCTACATGACGGGGAACGCGACTGAGGACGCGGCATTTAAAAACTAGACAGATTTGGTCCGGATGCCGATAAAGCAGCTGAAACAGACGTCAGAAAGGGCTTTACCCAGAATTTGACGAGAAAGAAAGCGTTGTGTGGCCCTTTGTCAAACAGCTCTTTCAGGCCCCCTTTCTTCTCGGGGTACTTGTCGTAGATCTGCCGGATGTCCACGGACTCCAGGTAGGCATCACTGTAGCTGGGGTTGGACTGTCCGATGTGCACAAACAAGTGCTTGTTGAACTGGAGAGAAAAGAAACATATCAGAGGTCAATAATCCCAGTTCGCTGAACAACAGCCATGTTCTAAATTACCAATTCTTTGGGACTCTAATAATGCATTGTGTCTTCGGTAAAGGAAGTAATGTCTGTTCTCCTTTTCTCCATCACGTGTTGCGATACCATAATTTCACAGAAAAAGAACAACTCGTCTCTATTTTTTTATTTACTATCCATACATATGCTGGACGCATTCATAACCCTTCTAATGTTTTTAACATTTCACAAGGATGGAGCTTGTCCTTTTTAGGCTCTTTACACAATTTTACCAGGGGTCACATTAAGAGTGGAGAGCCCTATGTGTCTAATTTTTATTAAAAAAAATGAAACAATGTGGATTTCAGAATTTACTTTAAATAGAAAAACCTCTAGAGCGAGAATTATAGAATGGTCTAAAGAAAAACAGACGACACACTGGCAAAACAAAGTTTGCTTTTGCAAACCATCATATATTAAAAACTACCCTGCTTAATTAAAACTGCAATTTTAATTCAGATCTGAGCTCTAAAATTACATTAATATCTTGGTAAAATCTTACTCAGCTCAGTTTTTTTAATTTATTTTAGCCACTTTTTGCCTTAGAACACCTGAGATACTCTCCACAAAGCCGCAGACTGATGAAGGCAGCTGAACTCACAGTCTCCGAGTCCTGAGGTTGCTCCAGGAAGGCGGAAAACTCCAGCATCCGCAGCCTGGAACTGGCAATACTTCTGCCTTGCCAAGGGGGGGCGCCGGGAGACATGGACAGTCCTGCTGTGCTCTCATAACCTGCAAAACAGTGAGTGTGCAAATGTGCTGCTTGAATGGGACGCAGCCAGAACTCGTGAAGACATAAAAACCAGAGGCATTTTTCGGAGCTTTGCACAAACGGAGCCGAGTCGTCCCGTTTCTCGGTGACATGACGGGTGTCTTTCAACGCAGCAGAGGAGAGAAGGAGCACCCACCTGTTATCGGGGTCGGGCCTGACGCCTGCATGGCATAACTCTGCTGGGAGAAGGGCTTAATGCTGGGAGGGAGAGACAGACACAGAGAAGGAGAGGCATGTTATGGTGCTTCTCGGCCCCACGACCCCGTCTCATGTACTCACTAATTGGACTGAGTGACCGCGAGGAGCAGCCTGGTGCACCGAGCACCAGGCTGCTGAGGGCCTCTGTTTCTAACAGCACTGATGCGTTTTGATTTGCTCAGAAGTTATTTTTTCTGACTGAAATCTATCTGGTGACTATTGAGTTAATGACAAATCACTGATGGACGGCAAAAAACGGATACTTACTCCTCATGGCCTCCTGTCTGAGCTGGAATTGTCCCGTGCCAGAACTGGGGGAAAAAAATAAATAAAAGAGAAACAAATAATTGAAACTTCAAAAGTGATTATTCTGGAGTCATTGTGGTTAATCTGCTTTTGAATGTGATGTAAATTACATTACTGTATTTGACAAACATGTTAAATACAGACATATTTGATGTATATTTGCTTGACGATGTTGATTGAAGCATTTGAGAAAATGCAATGTTTACTGCTTGTTTCACAATCGGTTACTATATGATGTTTTTAAGGTGTAAAGGACTTTGAGCTGCCATTGTTGCTGAAATGTGTTGCGCAAATAAGCTTGACTTGACTTTTCTACAATGCTGTCAAGTCATTTTGTATGTGTATAAATGAATGCCCACTGCATGATGATGCCACCACCATGCTTTACAAAGGGAACGTTGTGTTATAGACTTTTAGACTTTAAATTATACACAGGTGGACTTTTTGCTAATTGAGCAACTTCAGAAGGCAGTTAGTTGCGTTGGATTTTGAGTGGTTTTCAGAGTAAAAGCCTCTGAATGCACACTTTTAAGATTTGAACAGATGTTGAACCATGTACTCTCTCCCACTTCACAGTTTTAGCTTCTTTACTCCTTTATGACCTAAGTTTCAAATCTTCGCCTGCATATTTTTGCTTATTTTAATTGTATGCAGTTCTTTGAATATCCTGTGAGTTAATATATATTTGCCCATTTATCCATAACAACTGGAACTTTCAACATCTGGTGAGTTATTTTCGTAATTTGCCGTCGATTTAAAAGAGTGTTTCGTCAGATTAATTTCACTCCTTGCTACAACGGGAGTGAAATTACCGTAATAACCCGATATTACCTGGAAAGCACAAGGTCTCTCCTTTCAGAAACCACTGGAATTTTCAGACAGCGCTACGTGTGGCGGAATTAAGGTACTGCAAATTTGGCTGGATCGCTGCCGGAAGTGTTAAGTTGGTTTGTTGATAAGCCACAATAAAATACACTGTAGCATGTATTGTGACAAAATGTAGAAATATCCAAAGGATGCACACCTTTGCATTAAAATAAATCTAAAACATAGTCCACACACATCCCTACAAAAGCATGTCTGCATTAAAAAAAAAAAAATAAATCAGAAAGTCTCTCAAGATCGGAAGCGTCATCTGGAGAAAACATTTATTCAGAAAACTTCAGATAACTAAAATGAATTTATTTAATGTCCAAAAATAAACACATAAATCCAACTTCTCTGTGTGATTTAAGACTTACTCCACCAGCAGTAGGATAAGCTGGTCTCGAGAGACCCTGGAGAGCCATCTTGTTCTGGAAGGCTGTGGGAGAGATGATCTGAGCAGAGGACATGGTGGCCATGCTCTGGAGGGCTTTGTCTTTGGCTGCCTGATCCTGTAGAGATGGACAAACAGCTCAGCATAAGACAAACAGACTAAAGAACAGCTCTCATCAGCCTAACTGTGAGTAAACATCAGTCCTCTTTCTAACACAAGCGCTGCCCTAAAAAGGGAAATGAGAGGCTGAGGCCACCTTGCATCATCTGTGAGTTCCTGCCAGGCGAAGAGCTGGACAGAAGGTAATATTACCGTGGAGGGCCTTTGGGTCAAGAGTTAAGTTTATTGCTTTGGCAGGAGCAAGCCAGCGATGACAACCAGGTTCTGTTAGAGGTCGTACTGGAAGTCAAAGCAGGCATCAGGATGATGTGTCGGTTCTGGCACCGAAACCGTAAAATACTCATATCCTCACAAACAGTAAGGACGACGGACAAGCTGGAGACAAAACGTTTGAGTTTTCAAATCTCCTCCTTCAGCAGTTTCCGAACCGCAGCGGGCTGCGAGCGCCTGCCACCCTGCCCAAATAGGCAAGGCCACACGGTGCATTCTTGTTCCCAGAACTGGCGAACACAAGGGCATAGCTGAAATATGGGGGTTACATGTGGCAGGGATCTCAGTTACACTAAAGGCGTATTTAAAAAGGCTGGCCGCTGGGGCCAACCCTGTGACTGGTGCAGAGCCCTGCCAGCTGAACCCTGGTGGCGGGCGTCCAAGGTGAAGGAGAGGCGCGTTGCCTGTTGTGACTGTGAGCATGTAAGTGTATGCGGATGAGTAATGCAAACTGAGAAAGTACTGAAGAGGCAGGGATGTGTGAGCCCTTGGTAAACCGTAGAGGAAAACTTTTATTACCGAGGGTAAAACCTGGAGAGGGAAAAGGTGTTTCCTAATCATTTTGAGGTATTAAAGTGGAAAAAATAGATGAAAAGCAAATAAAAGTTGACTCACGTAGCGTACCTTGAGCTTCACCTGGATCTCCCTGGCCTTCCGTCGGGCAAGAACCTGGATGTGACTGGATACCTGGAAGACAAAGACAACGACAGACGGCACAAAGTGAAGCAGAACCTCACACAAAGGGAATTCAAATTAAAGATGCACAGAGACCAGAATCGGACTCATACTGTTTTTCAATTAGTGAATAGATTTCAACAAAACGCCACCACAACACTCTTTGGTGTAGAAGTAGAAGGTGTAATTTAGCTATTTTCCTTATTCGCCTGGTTTTTTCTACATAAGGTTCTGCAAAATACCCTTCTGGCTTCAACAACAAAGAGCTAGACTTCGATCTATAATCTAGAATATACATGAGAAGCGTTTAGTGCAGCTAAGCTGTACTAACTGGACTAATTTAGTTTATTCCATAAATTAATTATTTTCTCTTTGTTTTAATATGACTGAGAGACTCCTGTTTCCTGCTTCTTCTCAAAGACACACAATGTGATGTCACCTTATCTAACAATGACATTTTAAAAATATTTCAATTGTTTTTCTAATATTTTGCAGTTTGCTAATCAGAAATGCTCCACACAGCCATTAACGACGTCACTCTAGTTTCAATTTTTGCTTTTGTTCAAAACATGTTAAAAATGTAACAGAATTATGATCTGAACTCACTCAAAATGTAGATATTTCACACTTTCTCCAGAGTGATGCAGCTCATTCCCTAAAATACACAAAGAGCCTCAATCTGAAATAATAATAATAATAATAATAATAATAATAATAATGATAATAATAATAAACACTTGTTCTTAAAATTAAAGTGAATCAAAATCAGGAAAGAGGAGCTATGTGTTCCAAAGGTAAATATTGTTTTTTACTATATAACTGAAGAATAAAAATGTTATTATTGTAAATAATGATTTGCCTGGTGAAATAAAGCTTCAACTAACTAACATCTAACAGCTGAACTAAAACATGCAGACAGACCTTTAACTGGCTATAAACCAGTAGGTGTCCCTCTACGCCCTCATCAGGTTTATTATCTAGTTTGAATCCTTTTCTGACCCTTCCTGGCTTCTCATCTCCATTCATTCCCAGTCTAACGTGGTCAGATGACTTCGTAACGCATCAGTCACCGGCCCATAAATCAGTCCTTCCATATCAATAATTCAGAAAGTAAGACAACGTTCCGAATTCCTCGCCTTCCCGCTTCCCTCCTCCATCTGAATCACAGTATTCCCCAGCTTCTTCTTCCCGTCTAACAAGCACCAGATCCACGAGGTGCTGAAGAAACAACACCGACACATGATCCTATAGCATCTGTGCATTGGGCCCCGGCCCTAAATCAATCATCGTCTCTGGCTCTCCGGCCAGGAGGTGGGTGGTGGTGGCGGAGCGGCGGCGGGTGGTGGGTTCCACGGGATGTCGGTGCATCACTCAACAGGATTTTCTGCAGCCGTTCAAAAATAGCAGGCTGCAGCAAATGGCACTCGGAGAGAAACTCACCTGCTTCCTGGTCCGTGTCTTCCCCGTGCGAAGTTTGATGTACCTCGCTATCAACTCGTTCCGCCCTGCCGAAACAACAGAAAAGTTTTTCCCCTCAACATTTTAGCTACAGAATCGGTCTCCTCTTTCCGTTAAATTTGTATTTTAAACCTTGAACGAAATGTTAAAATAGATAAATAATAATGAGGTATTGAAAAATGAAAACAATATGTAAAAGAACATGATGGAAAATCCTGTCATTATTAGCTGGATAACAGTCTCCAGCAAAATCCGATGTGCTGCACATGCAGCTTATTTCTGTGCACATATTTATAGAAACAGTACAATAGAATAGACCAAATGCATGCCTGATCACACTTCTGAGTGTCTATAATGAGACAGTGTTTCCTCGTGTAAAGTTGTACACTGCCTTGCATAAATTATCCATACCCAGTGAACTTTTACACATTTCAACCACAAACTTCAGCGTACTTTACTGAGACTTTATGTGATAGAGTGAACAGAAAAGGACACATGGCTTTTCAATATGTTTTTAATAAATCAAACTCCTAAATTGTGGTGTGCATTTCCATTCAGCCTCCCTGAGTTAATACTTTGTAGAAGCTTTGCTTGACATTTTTTCCCAGACTTGCCACAAATTCTCCTTCAATTGACACAAAGACTTTGATGTCTAATACATAATAATGTTCTTAAACAATATTCTGTGTTAGTCTGCTTAGTGAAAGGTGAACATCCTATGTGCGAAATAAATTTTTCTGTCATTATTGCTCTTTTTTCAGCTCCATCAATATTACCATAGGTTATGTGCAGCTATCAGTACTGCAGATAAACAAACCCACAGCATAAAACGCCATAAACTGATACTTTGGACACAAAAGTATCAGTACAATTTTATGAAATTGGTTACAAAATAAAATGGGAGGGTAAAGAAAAAGTTAGGAGGTATAAATGCTGCATAAAAATGTATCCAATCTGACAAAAATGAATTAAAACAACTTCTCAAATCACAAAAAAAGTAGAAAATAAAATCAACAAGTATGCAACGCACCATGCATGTACGGATCACTCTGCAAACACACACGCAGAAAAGCGTCGTGGCTGTCTAGTGTGTCAGCACCGGACGCTTTAAGTGTAAGTGTATCGTGTTAGTTTATCACTAAGTATACAGTCTTGTCTGTGAGGGCTTGCATCAGGCTCAGAGTGGCCCCCGGAGCCTTAGCTCAGCTCATATCTCTGCAGTGAGTGTGTGTCTGTGCGCTGCTGACAGACAGGTCACACTGGCGAAGCAGGTGGAGGCTGAGGCCATGCGATCCTCAGACGGGACTCGGGAGAGACAGGACACAGGCCAGGGACGGGAGGCCCGGCGCGGTGAAGCAACTGGTTTGTGTTTCTTTGTTTATAGAATATCGCCTTTTACTGTAGGCAATCATAAATCTTCCCCAAATCTGATGAAGAGAGTCATTTGTAACGACAATAATTAAACACACCTGATCGAGTTAAATAACTCCAGAACGAAGAAAAGGTCTGACAAGCGTTTGCGTCACCTCCTAAACACGTTCGTTTTTCCACTTGGCACCGCATCGCCACGAGTTAACACGTGGGGCAGTCACGTCCGTCACGCACGTCGGGAAGGATTTCACATTTTCTCCGACATACTAACGCTTCGGTCAGACCTTACACATCCCACTTCCTGCACAGTAATCAGAGGAAACCAGACACCCGCTCTAGACCCCATCAGGCATTTTGTCAACCAATAAAAGTGATCAGATTTTGGACGGAATGCAGAGCGACATTTCTCCCTGGTGCGCATGTGAACCCAAACAACTCCCAGTTTTCTCAGGGGGAAATTTCCACATAGAAAGCAGTCTTGTGTTTGCATTGAAGAAAACTGGTAACCGTCTCTGTGTGCTGCAGTGCAGAGGCAGCAGAGAACTCTATTCAGAGGTAGAAATCATAATCCTGTGTTTTAGATATATCGTCAAGCTTTCTGCTTGCATTTTCTATTTTTAACATGAAAGATTTTTTATTTTTTTATTTTATTTTTATTTTTTTTGCTTTCTGAAAGTTGGGACTTTGCGCACCTTATTTGCATCGCCTTCGGTCTGCCCAAACCTTTCTGCACAATGAGGCGACATGCTACTTACAGCTAACTACATTCAGTGATGTGCATTAGCCACAGATTGCACGCCGCTGTCTGTTGGAATAATATGTAACCATAAACAGGGGGACCTGAACCTGCCACATGATCTTGTGATATTAAAATGCCACAATATTTCATGTCAAAGTGAGGCCTGTCCAGCGAAGCACTATCAAGTCGCTGCATCTGTCTACGCTGTTATCGTAAGATCCAGATCCCAAGGTCACTGCTTTAACCTTGACACTTTGTGTATTTCTGAAAATAAAAAGGAAGTAGTTCCTAAGTTAACCATAAGTCGATTTATAGTGACCGTTTGTCAGACTGGCAGAGAATCTCGGTTGCAGCATCATTATATTATTATGGTGTTATATTATCATTATTATAATCGTTGAAGAATTCTTGGGACGATTTGAAGTCGTATCTTTTAGGTATAAAAAATAAAATAAAATGCGACAGACGAGGTACAAAGGATAGCTGAAAATTTGTAAGACTATTTTTTGGTCTGACGTGCAGCTCTCTGTTTTTGAAGGCCTTTGTGAATTACAGTGGCGCCTAAATTGATCCAATGTTATCTGCAAATTGGGTTTATTGGGAAGGATACTAACTAGACGACAGGCACTATTTCAAAAGCTCTGTGTAAGAATATTACAATTGGTTTCTCTTGAATTAGCACAAAATGCCCCTTCTAATGAGTACTACAACCTCAAAATGATTCAAACTCTTCAGGACTAACATGTTTAGTACTTAGTAGAGCACTTTTCTGCTGATTCATAACTAGTCACCAACTTCTGAGGCTGCCAGTTTGTTGATGTTCCTGGTTTTCTGTGCCGTTTCAGCTGCCTTTTGCAGATCCCATCAGAGATTTTCAACAGAGTTAAAGTCGTAACGGTCTTGAAGATTTTGGCCTACTGTGAATTGTTGCAATTCGAGCCACACCACTTTGGCTCGTGCATGAGCATTATGCGCTGAGTCCACGTCTGAGGAAACTAGTGAGTCAAAATATTTGAACTCTGTGCTCTTGATTCGCTCCTGTCCACTGATTTTGATTGTGCCATTGGTATTTTAGGTATTGGAGACGAGCAAACAACTGAATGATATTGACTTTTTTAAGGAATCTAATCTGCATCAATGGTTGAATCGCTGTAGTACGGTTGGCCTCTGTTAGCTGGTACAAAAATTGTGCAATCTGTTACTGAATCACTTCCTGCTAAAGAGCCCCCTGGTGGTTGAAGAAAGATCCACAAGAATTATACAGTCACATTTCCAAAGAAATTGCTTTTGTATGAAGCTTTTGAGGACTAAAGGGAAATCTTAAGCCCCACACATAGTTTCTGACACATTTCTGCTCCAGTCGCTGTATTCTTCCTGTTCTGATCTTATTTTCTTTTCAGGGGCGTAACGTAACCGTTCAGTGTTTATCAGGAGGTGAACTTTTCTCAAATGATTGTTTGAGCCCCTAAATACATATTTCTTTAATTGCTTGGGGATTAAGGAAGTGTTCCACATTTCCTGACAATCAAAGTCTTAAAAGGCAGAAAAGAGAACATTTTGTCAAAACTGCTCAAATTCTACAACCTCAAATTAACGTTCAGGAGAGATTTTCCCCTCTGGAAATTATCTTCACTTGCGCAGTGTCTCTGTGCAACAATACTTTTCAAAGCAGCAGTGACGGGAGCTTCAGGTCTCCGTTGGTGAATGAACCAAGTTAAAAAAAAAAAAGTGTGTGTGGGGGGGGAATATTTTAAAAACCTCCTATCTTATTTCATGGATTTAAAAACCACATTCCTGAAGTGAACTTACTTTTCCACTTGACTGACCTGCCAAAAACATTTTACAAATTAGTATAAGAAACCAAAGCTGGAACCTTTTTCCCTCTTACCATGAATGATTTTTAAAAAATATTCCACCACCAACTGAGCAAAGGGACAAACTGCTTTCATCAGTGTGACAGTATGCCTTTCCAAAGTGGTCAGGTTCACATTTCAAGCATTAAACAACTTGGGAAGTCAAAGACGCTTCGCCTGATGCACTCGTATCAGATGCCCTACCACTCCTAGTGTGAGTGCTTGACTCTTCAAAAATACCCTCCAACACACCCATGAGATCAGAGAGGCGACTCAGTCACACAACGATGAGATCATGATATCCAAATCGGGGAGCGCAGACACAGAAGTCGCTCCCACCGAGGCTGTAGGAAAGTTCTACCGTTACAAATCGCTCCACAGCTTGATGTTGTTTATTGCGCCGCCCAGAGTCACGGAAATTTCTGGAGGGGGAATCTGATTCTGTAAAGATTTCTTGGGGTGGGGGGCTATGAAAAGTCCAGGTTTCCCCGAGTTCAAAGTTGTCGTGTCCTGTCAACCGAGAAGAGCTGGAGAATGAGACATTTCTAGTAGTTTCATCAGGATGTGATGAAAAAGAGCAGGTGTGAACCACTGCCTCGTGGTAAAGGAGGTAAACGATGCCACAACTGCTTAGATAAATTCTGATGCTGTAGTTTTGCTCTGAAAAATTAAATGTACTCAGTGAGAACAGAGAAATGTTAAACCACAACTTTAACATGTTAAAAGTGATTCTATGGGCTTTGCACTCATGCATGTTACACTTTTTATTGTTTTATTTTGATTAAAATATATATAATTTTCCATCCTCTCCACAGAAATGTTTCATTTTGCTTTGGCCGATCACATAAAACCTTAAAAAAACACACACACAATTTTATGATCGTTACAAAATAAATTAAAATCTCAATAAGTTTTAGTAATTTAATGGAGGACATGATCAATACTGTTGATCAGTGTCTGGTCTCTTTGGTTTATCCAACCACAGCGTTTGATATTCCAGATATCGGACAGCCCAACCTAATCTCAAAAACTAATCTTTAAAGGAAAAATATGAGTATTTGGAGGAGAATTTCATCCAAAGAAG